GAATGCCCCAGTGGTGTTGTCAATGAAGAAACCTTCAAAGAGATTTACTCTCAGTTCTTTCCACAGGGAGGTGAGTACTCGTCAGATGTAATTAGTGCTACAGTGTACAGAGAGTCATGTGTGTTTGTCAGACTTGGACAAAAGAGCCTGTTGTTCAAATTAATAAGATTGTTGTCTCAAGCTCTGTCTGTACTCATGGGGTACTTCCTTGATTGACACATTTTAAAGTATATATTTCTGAATGAAATGCAATGATGTCTACAAGAAGTCAGCCTTATGAAGTTACTACGTGTGTTTGGGTAACTTAAAAACCAGGCTCCTCTGAGTAGGTTATTTCTTTTTAAACTTTCTACACAGTCTTCCCCATTCTCTTTTGTTCCACAAAACCTTTCAAGGTAGGAAAGAAAACCGTAGGAGGCACTTACAGGTACCCTCTAACATTGATGGCAGAACCCCCTTGACTTCTATGGGGTTTCACTACTTAAATGAGGGCTTTTTTGCTAAACTTAATTTCAATTAATTAATTTCCAGGGGTCTCATTAATTTCTTTACCTTCCTTATCTTTTAGTGCAATGAAGATAACGCAAAAATGTATAACAGTTCTTTGCCTTGAACTTCAGATTTTCTTTTTATTTGAATTGTTTCCCTCTCTTTTATTTCTCTTGCTTTCTATTCAGTCCTCCCTCTTCATATTCTCCTACAGCTCTTCAATCCTGCCTCTTCATCTTCTCCCACGGCTCTTGAGATTTGCATGTTTCCCTGGGACTGTTCACAGCTCTTTCTTTTCACTTGTATTTAAAAAACCCCACACTTAATTGGTAGGAAGAAAACGTCTCGCAATTAGTTTTATTTTGTATAACGACCTAGAAGGTAAAGAGCAGCATTCAGTGTGGATTACCATCACTGAAATCCTTACCAAGTAGGCACACTCAATAGGGAAGAAAAAAAGGCTAAAAGAATTGACGTGCCTGCTGATTGTTTTAGCTAAGCTTTTAAACCAGGCTAACAATTACAGTTTCAGATAAAATATTTTTTAGTTACCCTGGCTAGTGAAAATAATTCTCTGTATGTGATTTACTATACCTTTACTACACTTGTAATAATAATTTAAAAAATTATTATATTTCCTATTGTTACACTCATATTTCCTATTGTTACAGTCAAAATTGTTTATGAGCAAAGAGAAAGCACACCTTTTACACATTAAAAATTACACATTAAAGCTAAAATGTATTGTTAGAATAAAAGTAATCTTAAAAGACTAATCTTTATTAGTCCAGACCTAATTGTTACAGAAAGGAAAGAATATTAATATAGTTAAAACCAATATTAATATAGTTCAAATCGATATATACTCAGTTTCCACTCCTTTTCCTGGTGTTAATGCTTACCCTTCTGCTGTTCCTCTGGACCTTTAGGGCAGTGGCATCATTTGGGAGAGGAGGGGGGGACTGCAGTGGACTGTCAGCCTCTGGAGTCCTTCCCTAGGAGGAATTAGGATGTTCATGTTGGTGTTGCCTTCTCTCTCGCTCTAGGATTCACCTGGGGTCACTTCTACATGTTTGCTAACATATTTTTACACCTTTCTTTTTCTCCATTGCTTTGCAGCTCCACATTACATCCAAATTTACTATAGGTGGTACCTTTTACACGTGTTAGATACTATTTCTTTGTTCTCTTTTCTACCCCTAAAGACATTTTTGTCCAGCTCCACACCTTCATTCTTCAATTGACCATGGGTGAGTTGCTTATAGCTGTGGGGTCCCCAGTGCCAGCCTGTGCCCCATCCCTTCTCATCCCACACCCGCCCTGCTCTGCGCTGCATCCCAGCTCTGCTGCTCAAGGCCTCTGCTAGCGTACAAGGCAAAAAGTTCTCCCCACTGCATCATTACGTTAGGGTCGTAAATACCTAATTCTACATAGAATAACTGCTTGTTTCTGCTACGCTATAACTGTACCACAAAAGTAAAACGAATCAGCCTTAGAAACCTGATAAATTTGAGAGACTGCTGTCACAGGGAAATGATGGGAAACAAAGCTGCAAGCTGATGAGCCTCCATCCTGGGCCAAGCTCCCTGTAAAACTTTTGGCTTCTTAGTAGCAATGGCAATATTGCATTATAGGGACACACAATTACACTATTTACTATAATTTCAGCAATGCCTTTGCTCTATCTGCAACAAGGGAGCTACACTTTTCTGAAAAAAAAAACCCAAAAAACGACACCTCCCCCCAAAGCTTTTAATACAAAGTTAGATTTTTAGGAGGGTAGAAAAGTATCGAATACAGATAATTCACTTATCAGTAACAGGTGGTGGTGTGCACTAATAACAGCATTTTTAGCTTTCTCAATAAAGCCATTTCAGAGATGCCAGGAAAGAGCAGCAAGAAGTGGCCATTAGAAGTTATTCCCTTCCTCTCCCCATCCTCCACGGCCTCCACGCAATGGCGCGTAGCCTTAGCGGTACAGAACGACAGCGCAAACAAATGTGAAAGCCTTATGTAGTTTTCCTTGAAATTTCAGGAAAAATATTCGGTGGAAACAGCAGAAGAGCTGAATCTTCTTGGAAGAGCAACAGCTCACATCAGTAGTCCTTTAATTTATGTGGACTCACTGAAACCTGAACTGTTTTGTGTAGGTTTTGTGGTCTTTTGTAGGTGCCTGTGTTGACTTTTGACATTTTCTGAGAGTTATGGGAGCCAGAGTCTATTCTTTGTTCCTCACATTAGCCAAGGTATTTTCAAAGCCCAATTAATTGTCTGTGTTTGCATGCCTCTGCATGCTAACAACAGGGCGAGATCATCATATTTAAGTGTCTAGTTAAGCATCTAGACTGGATACTTAAAGCTCTGAATGTATTGCCAAATTATTGTCTGCAGCTGAGGCTTTTAAATTTCAATTGCACTTAAAATACTGTTTTTCTGTATGTCTGAATATTAAAAAGGAAATAAAAAGTTTGAAAGTTGTCCCCAAATTAAAACACATGCCGCACACGTAGATCTGTGCCCCATTGTCTGTGTAATGCAAAACCAGATACAGCATGATGTATTTTTTAACAATTCATATCTGAGCAAACAGAATGATGTTGTGTAAGATTTTAAGCTTCAGGGTGACCAAGCAATCACCAAAATGTTATTTTCCAATGTCAGCCAGCAAGTCACTTCACCAAGCTGCTTTCAAGATGATCCAGGATAAGGGACAGGAGGAGTAGAACGAGGATAAGGGGGCCACAGTAAGAGTAACAAAGCTGATGACGCAGAACTGCAGTAAAATCAATGTCTTTTAAAAGGCAGAAGCAGCTTTATAGAAAGCTTTCCATGCCAGAAAGGCACTCCCGTAACTTCTTTTTAGAAATACAGGTGAATGAATAGTCCCCCTTGCGTTCATGCCATGGATCACCTGGAATATAACTTGGGATTTCTTCTTCAGCCGGGCAGGTCATAGATCAGAATCCAGACATTGAATAATTATTGCAGTCCTACTCAGTTATGAACAGAACAGATTATGTTCATGGTTTGATAAGGCATACTCTTGGCTGTATAATGATTACGGTTTTTTGTCTCTGATGTTTAAAACGCTTTAATGGTGAATGTCAAAGGAATTCTGATTTAATATCGGTTCCTGTCTCAACCTGTCAAAATATCATTTTAGCTTACTAGTTATGAAATCAGATCCCTGAAAAGAAAACATATTTTATTTAAAAAGTTAAGCTTTTGTCTATCATGACTAATGTTCAGGAGTTAGGGGGCGGGGGCGGAGGAGAATCACATTAAGTAGCTCCAATTAAAAGACTAGTGTACCTCATCCTGCAGTGTCTTTGAAGGCAAAATTTCAGACTAGAATTGCCTGAACAAACGACCCTGAAAAAGGCCTGTGAATTTTTCAGAAGAGTTACTAGAAAGAAAAGATTCTTCAACTAGAGATTTTTTTTTTCAGATACCATGATGAAAAAAAGAGTAGTATCATGCATGGGCAATAAACAATAAAAAAACCTTTGTGTTAACCTTTGTGTTTTCTGTAAATCTACAGAAAATAATTAGGAATATTTCTTATGTTTTTAAGAAATGAATGCCAAGAGAATGGGAAGCTACTTAAGATTCAGTTTATAGCAATTATACCTCTAAAAAATGTTTTTTCCCTGAAGATGGTTTGCACAGTAAAGTCTGTTGCACAACAGAAGTCTCAGTAGATTATAGAAAATATGACTATTAAAATCCTAAATATAAACTGAACAAATCTACAACAAATTTACATTTTTTCAGTTAAAGTGGGAATTTGTCTGCTAGCCCATGCTTAAGCTATTACACTGATGACTGGATACACGGGTTAATGAAAGAATCTCTCAATAGTGGTGTTTTGTTTTTTAATTCTCTACAAATGCATTAACAAATATAGTATTTAAAGGTTACAGAGTTTTTTCTTGTTACAATTATTTCACAGCATATGAAATTAACATATTGAAGTAAGATCAGAGACTTTACTTGCCAATATCAGGTCTGAATCTGCGAAGTACAAAGTTTTGAGTTTTGGTATATTTGGTTCTTTGGGGTCAAGGTAGCATTTCAGGTGAGTGACCCAAGACTATCACTCAGTTTAATTCAAAACAGTATTTTGGACTGTGACAAATAAAGGTTTTAATGATTAATATGAAAGATAAAATGGTTTAGTGTGAAGAAATCAGAAAAAGTCATCTCAGCACTGATGAGTTTTTTTCCATGATGGGGCGGTTTGCCTTGCAAGGGGGACACAGATTTCATATCACTTCTCACTTCACTAGAAGTTTGTGAGGTTAATGTTAATTAACCTAAAATTAATGTAAATGCATGAAATAGAAAGAGCAAAGCAATGAATATTAAAAGTAAACAATACCTCAGCCTACATTAATTCGCATGGTTTTGAGGGAGGGGAAAGACACTGAGGAAAGCTGACTTCCCACAACCCCAGCAGCTTGTACATCACATCAGTGGGGCAGTCTCTGGAGAAGTTTTCTCTTTGCGATATATTGCTCCTGGAGCAGGTTGTGCCTCTCAGAAGACATTCAGTGGAAATGGAAAGATGGATCTTTACAAAAACTTAGAGGCTTGACAGATTTATATTCATGCTGTCTTGTGTTTCTAAAATGAGTCGATATGCACTAGTCAGTAGGTTTGAAAAGCATACAAATAATTAGTGAAGGGGTCACCTGTTTAAGGTCATCCTTCAGAGTCTTATTACCACTTCAGTTAGTCACGGCCAGTTTTTCCAAGGTTTTTCAGCACCTAGCTCTCATATGATGTTCATGGGAACAAAGCAGCAAACCAGCTTTAAGAATCTGCTTCTCTGGACAGGACTTTTTCACCTGTGGGTGAGCGGCGTGGGTTAGCCCCCGCCGGCAACCAAGCC